TTCCTTAAAATTATTTATCGCGACGCGGAAACATTTTATGCAAAAATCACCGATGTAATTTATAAAGTTTCTTTATTATTCGGAGCCATTAGGAAAACTGTAGCAAACCACATTCTCTGCCCCTTAAGCTCTTACTTGAGCCATATAAATGCGGCCTTTTAACATTTTATAATAATACCCAAGAGGAAAGGACAATTTTCGCTAAAATCCCATAAATCTTTTACACCAGCCGCAAGTAAAGCCATAAAACACCTTATCTTTATATTAAATTTTTAGGTGTGGTAAGAAATGCAAGGCATTACTTATTTTCTTCATTTTGCCCTTTTTCAATCTAATAAGCAATTATTTGGCAAGAGGCTAAACGAAGACGTCTATTTTAGGGTAATAAAATAGATGATCCCAATAAGGATTCACTCAATATTGGTCAGATGAGATGAATAAAAATTGCAGATATTCTCAATGGGAAATCATGGGTTGTGAACTCATGAATTACTTAACGACGAATGATGATATTTACGTACTTATGTAACTGCATCATGCTGTGGCGTAAAACATGTACTGCATCAGATTCTGTTCCTCCCAACCATTTCTCTGTGATCTCCTGTTAGTTAGTTGGTTTCTCATTTTAAGCTCAGCGGAAAATAACTGCTAGTCTGTTTTGTCTTGTTTTTTTTYTCAAATTTGTTCAAATGGGCCAAGTTCCAATATTATGCTCAGGATTTTCATTGCAGTGCTTGGTTAGAATTAGTCAATTCATTTTCGGAAATAAACYTATATTAAATTAAAAGCAAAAATATTAATTGCTCTCCAATAGTCACTGTTGAAATGGCTATGAAACATGCAACCAAGCTTCACTAAAAAATTAACCACTAGCCCGTTATTTTTTTGGTGAGTGTAAATCTGAACTGAGAACTTGAACATGCAATTAAAAACTGTAAACCCGGAAAGGCAGCAGGACCTGACGAAGTGCCTACTGACCCGGTAAAGCTTATCGGAGAAGAMTTCATAGATATTCTATTGAAACTGTTTAAAAACATTAATGAGACGGRCGGAATTCCTAGCGATTGGCTCAATATTCGTGACACTACCAAAGAGAAATAATGCCAGATAATGTTCGGACCACAGAATCATTGCCCTAATGAGTCACCCCTGCAAAATATTTTTACAGATCATACATAACTGGATTTATAAGGAATTTGAACAGTGATCAGTGACACTCAAATGTGTTTTTGGAAGGGCATGGGAACAAGAGAAGCGCTGTTCGGACTGAACGTATCGAGGCAGAGATGCCTAGATATAAATCAAGATCAGTACATTTGCTTTATCGACTTTCAAATGGCATTTAATATGGTCCAAAACTTAAAAGTTCTAGACATATTATACAAAAAAACATCGATAGCAAAGACATAAGAATAATATCGATTCTCTACGATCTCCAAACAGCACGAGTCAAAGTCGGAGAAGATCTGAGTGAGGAGATTGAGATATGTCGATGTTTTAGACAGGGATCTGTATTGTCGCCTCTCTTGTTCAATGTGTATAGTGAGGGCATCTTGGAAGAGGTACTCACAGGAGAAACCGGTAATATTGTCATAAACAGGGAAATAATCAACAACTTGCGATACGCAGACGATACCGTTATTGTCGCCGACAGTCTGGAAGACCGACAACATCTGGTTGAGTTAACAAGCATTTTCTGCAAGAGATATGGCCTAGATATGAACCTAAAGAAAACCAAAGTCATGGCAACTTCAAAAAACCTGAATACAAACCACAACAGACCATGTATAAATATTAATAAGGACATTCTGCAATGGGTATCCTTTTACAAATATCTTGACACATGGAAAACTGAAACAGCTGAACACTTACAGCAGAAGTAGCTCGCAGCGCTTTCATCAAAATGAATAAAATAGTCTTCAGCCGTGATATAACATTAGAACTGAGAACCAGAATGCTCAAATGCTATATATTCTCCATTCTATTGTATAGAATGGAGGCTTGAACCCTTAAATCAGAAAACATCAAGAACATAGAAGCATGTGAAATGTGGTGTTATAGAAGGATGCTGAGAATATCATGGGTGGACAAGGTCTCGAATGAAGAAGTTCTACGCCGAATGGAATAAAGGCAATTAAATTAGTAACACCTTAAAAAGGAGAAAACTAGAATATCTAGGACGTGTTCTGAAAGGAGAAATATATAACATCGTTAAGCTAATTATTCAGGGTAAAACAAAAGGGAGTAAAAGAATATCTTAACTGCGCAACTTGAGCGAGTGATTTCGTTGTAAGTCCGCAGAACTTTTCAGGCGGGCGATTGATAGGGTTCGAGTAGTGGTGATGATTGCCAATCTCCGATATGAATCTGGGAATTTCAAGAAGAAGACCACTGAAATTTCAAGCAAAAAACTAGTAGGCGGCCACAAAATGAGCATTGTAAACTGAACAAATGCAATATTATTTAACTTGCAAGTAGAATTTCTTATAGTTTAGAAAGTTGCGCCAGCCAATTAAGATTTTTTTAAATTCCCATTATTGTTCTTAATTCTCAATTAAGACAATTTTTAATCTTTTTATTGTCTTGTAACTTCTAAATTTTATCGTGCTGACAACATTAATATAATTTTCTTTTATTGCTTTATTTAAAGCGAAACCATCAATTTACTGCGATCCTGTTATTAGTTTATTTGTGCAAATATAAAAATTTAAAACGTTTACTTGCTGAGCGACTGAATTTGTTTTGTATCAATTAATTTAATTTGATCGAACCCATATTTTCACTGAACTTGACAGATTTCAAACCTGCAAACGTTAATTCGCCAAATCCGTTTCAGCGTTAATAATGGCAAATCCATTAGCGGATACGTAACGGAAAGAAAATATTATTTGTCAGTTTGAAATGGGAAAAACAAAAAGTCGGAACTAGCCACATTTATTGCAGACGAATATGGGACAGCATTTTGCGGCTTGATTAACGCTGTTTTAATGGTGGAGTTTTTGTGCATTTATTGTCTGCTTTACACATGTATTACGAAATATTTTTGTTTTAATAGTAGTTAAAACGCAGTTTCCATTAGATCACTAATAACACACCACTAACTAAACAAAGCTCTAAGTTAGCCGAGTCTAACGTGCAGCGTAATGCTGAATTATTTTAAATTTACAGCCTTAGCAATCTAAACAGCAATAATATGGATAAAATACAACGTTAATTTCTATTCGCTGCAATTACTGTTTCGATCAGTTGAAAAGTAGAATGTAGCATATTCCATGTGCAGCTCCAATAACATTTTTATGCCAAAGGCAACCAATATTATTGCTTAATGAAGATAAGGCGGCCTCAACCGATAAAACTAAGAACTCCATCGTAAATTTCTTTTTATAGACAATAACAAAAAATATCTGAGGCACGGAACTTGTAATACCATCTAGTTTATTGTGCTACAACAATTACATTTGTTACATACCGAGATAAAACGGCGGTGTTACGAGTTTTATCGGGGCGTTGTTACATAGGGCGTACACAAATGAAGTAGTTTTACTCGATTTTTTACAGGCAAATTGTTAGCAAGCTGCATTTGTTGTACATTTCCCACAGCTCGGAACTTTCGATGAATATTTCAAAGTAATTTGAAATTTTATGAAACTGTTGATTTAAAAGCGCTTGGTTAATAGAATGAATATAGATTCTTTTGCTTTAATTTTCTTTTACTAGAGTCATATTTCAACTGTTATTTTTCGATATCTATTTAACAGAAAGAGGGCAATTGAGTTCTGTATGCACCACAATGTTTGAATGCGGTAATTTTGAAAATTGTGAATTAATTAATTAATTTATTGCTTTTCGTAAATTATTATTTCTGATTTTCGTCTGCTTTCAATTCGTACTTCTAAACTCCGAATGTGTAAAGCGTTGAAATCGGACTAATGTTTGTAACATTTATACAGTTGTTGCAAATAAATTGCAAGCAGTTTAAATTAAAAAATACTAACAAAAAAATTAGTAAAAATTTAGTGCTCTGATAAGCAGTTGTGCATCCTACCTGGAGTGGGTAAAATTTAAATAGATTGCAGCTGTAAATTAATATTTCCAAATCGGTTCTGAGATGGCACTAAATATAAAACTTTATGTTTTTCGCAAAAAATACAACAGACGTTTTGAGAATTCAATAATTCAGACTATCCAGTCATTTCATATTCGGTATGCCTATCTCACATTCCAATTTTCCGTCCAGCGTTAAAAGAAAATATCTGAAAAGTTGTGCGTGTATGAATTTTGCAAAGGTAATTGGTTTTCAATAAATATTAAGCATTCGATGTAGCTTGTATGCATATTCTTATATTACCTAAGATTGTACAAGTAGGTTATCGCCATTTTTTTCTGAAATTACAGACTAGTAAAAGGGAAAGAAACGACATTATTAGTCATATTAAAGATTAAAGGGTAAATCATGCATTGCAGCTTCAAAGTTACATTACTGGCAAACACAGCGTGTTTTCATTAAGTTAAATTATTATCTTTTGAACTAACTTTTTGCTGCACCTATGAAGAGATGTGTGTACATGTAGGGTCTGCTTACCCATAAATTACTCGATACCGTAACAGTATTGTCATCGAAAGATGCAGTAAATTAGCTGAACTAATCAGATACTAATTCGCCACACCTGATAATACTGTTATTGACCAGACAGTGTTTAATGACAAGTGGTTGGACGATGGCTAATCTGAAGCTATGTCCGGATGTGAACGAACCTGTATTGAAACATTAATCCCTTACGGATATTCAAAGCAGTTCCAATTCCGGCTTAACAAACGCGCATTTTTAGTTTAACTAAATGTAAATTCACCAACGAAAATAATTTATTTATGAATTGAAAGCTTTCGTAGAAATAGTTGCTGCTCAGGAACTCAGTGAAGTATTGTTTGTCCTGTGTACTTATCTTGGTCACACTTGCAAAGGCTATGTTAACTATATTCAAGCTTAATTTTTTTTTCAGATTATCACTGAGAGAAATTCACGATGATTGGCAGTAAGGTGGTAAGTAAGAAATTATCATTCTACTTAACGAAAAACATGTTATTTTAGCATTTGTGTAGCATTGTACACATACTTTATTTATGAGGACTTACATACTATATTGGTACTTTCTGATTTACGTTTGCTCTAAGTGCGCATATTCAAACCCTGTTTAAACGATAATTTTTTTAATGCTTAGCATCGGAACTTTCATATATTATTTTGCCCAAATTGCTCTACTGGATGAATCATAAAATGTTCATAATATCTTATTAAAAAATTAAGTTAAAAAAAGGTAAAAGCACATGTTTCAGTTAATTACCAAAAATCTGACTTTCGAATGTTTGCAGGAACTAAATTATATCGAGTTTAGTTCCTTCAAACATTTTATAGTTATAGTTTTGGTAAATCGAAATTCACCTATAATAAGTCTTTTTAATTTTTAAATTGTCTATTTATCCCGTTTCCAAGTTAATAAGCTGTTTATTGAGCAATTGATGGGAACAATGCAATTGCAGGCCATAAAATTAGCTCGGTCATTGGATGCAATATTCACATTTATGATTGCGATAAGTAATTATTAAAATGTTTATTTAAATTTGCAGTTAATTTTAATGGAAATTGCCGCGTTGCTCCCATGCATAAATTATGGACAGAGACTGTGGTTGATGTCAATTATTAATGAAATTCCATTCAATCTACATAATCAGCAGTTAGGTTTAGTCAGATGAGCCTAGAAATTAATTTCACCTCTATTTTTGTAATTTATAAATATGTTTTTCTGTGGATTGTTTTCTATATTGCTCTAAACCAGAGTAATATTATGGTATCGCGAAAACTTGCTCTTCTGGGAAACATGCCAAATTATGGTATTAATCACGATTTCCAGTCTAAGGCTAAGTTTATAGGCTAACCAGTGATTCATATTTATGAGAGAGTTTAATAAGCCTAATTCCATTAATAGCCCAATTTGAAAAAGTGACAATTTTTAATGAATTACCAAAATTCAGAAGGTTGAAGATTTATCTGTAGCCCGTATCAAGGGAGTGACTCGGAGAACTTAAGCGTAGGATTGTCCACTGACCAGTGTGACAGTAGTTTCAGGGCTTATTGTGTAATATACAGTTGGCATATTTTGAATAAGCACATATGGACACCCTGCTATTGACATTATCAAATTACACGGCCCTCAGATGATTATCATCTAAATTCAATTTGAGTTTCCACGATTATCCAAGCTTAGTTCCTTCCAGATTGCTTCAAGGATCCAGAGATTTGAAATGAAATCAGATTATATTTAAAAATAATGCCACATGAGTATCTGAGTATAATATTGATGTGTCGCAAGAGAGGTTTCTTCTTTTCGAAGACTAATTTCTTTAATTTTGCATTATTTCTAGATTAAATAAGTAGCCTCTTGAGATCTTAATTTAAATATTTACTTCGAAATTTGAGACTGCACAGCAAAGGTCAAACCCAGATCAGATCTGTTGTGAATGTTTTGATTTATGACTGATGATGAATGACTCTTTCATATTAATCTCACATCAAGGCAACAAAAAACAGTAAAGTTATATTTACAAAAGTAAATTTACATTAATTATTATTTTTTAAGGAAGTTTTCTAACGAATTTCCTATGGTACAGAAAAAACATTGTGTGTATATTTACGTTTATATTTTATTAGTGATACCAATTAGCGTGAAACACCTTTCCTGAAATTATCAGCTACAGCATGCCAATGTTTCTGGCTTTAGTTCCTCCGTATTTAATAAATATTTACTATGACTATAAACCTTTTAAAACATTATATTGCACGGCAACATGTTTACTGTCATGTATTGTATATAATTTATAATAAGGAATTAACAGCTATTGTCATTTTCCTATTAGGTAAAAGGAGCTCGGGTTGTTTTTTGGCTTACATTTAGGAGAGACTAAGAAGCTTACGACTAAACCATCATCCAGCCAAGTATCCTCTTGTATTAGGGCACCATTATAAAACGTAATCCATAACGAAAGCCCCAAATATAATTCACGTTAATTATCTGGAACTATTCCCCATGAATTATGATCTTGTATTATAAACAATTTCAGCAGATGTCAATTTCCCACGGACTCATATCTGCTTTTATGTTCCCGGTTTTGTGAAATGAAGAGTCTAATTATGATTCGTAGTCAGTTGTGAATAGAACAAAACGAAAATTTGAGCTTTGCGAAAGCCTCGTCATTGTTCCTACTCGAAGGAGGAATTTAATATTGGGAAAGCAAGAAAGGATCAAATGTCGTTTGCCTAGATAAGAAGCCGCATTATTCACAATAAGTTTGCTTTTCATCTCAACCATTATGAAACGTTATGTTGGTATTGATTTATATTTTAAAAGCATTTGAGTTTAACAACCAGTTGTGTCTAGAATTCTCAAAACAATATTTTCCAATAAAGCTGAAAGTAGATTATGTTAATTTTTACTCTAATTTTTGTATGCATAAACATTGGCTGAGATCAAAAATTTTATTTGCTCAATTTTATAGTAATGAGGTTTAGTAAAATGAAAATGTTATGGAGGATTTTCTGGGTTCTTATGGTTTTCATGATATGGTTGGTCAGTGGGATTAGTTAATTTACTAGTTCAAGTTTTAAAAGACGCTTGTTTAATTCTCAACAGATGAGTTGCTTTCAAGCATGATATATGTGCCCATAATTATAAAAGCGGCCTAAGTCAAAATTTAAAAAAATGAGTTTATCAGTTATTTCACACCACAGTATTTAAAACTAAATTTATTCAATGTAATTTTTACGGTATCGTCAAACGTGTACCATTAGATGCTGGTTGTAATTTCAACATTATGTGGAATTAATTTAGTGTTAATTATGAAAGTGGTCTAAGTCAAAACTGTGTGAGGCGTTTCTGAACTACATAATAAGCCAAACATTTTTGGTATCGGGTCATTTGTTTCTACCGAATGACCGTGATTATCGGTTGACAGAAATGAAAATAAAAAAGTAAATTACTTATGCAACCCTGAGCATTATTATAAATTAATAGAAAAGTGTAGAAGAAGAAATACATCTTCGATAAAACGAATGTCACAGCCGTATTTTATATCAACGAAATCACTAGAAGAGTAAAAAATACGTCGGGCGAATCTGTCTCTTGGCTGCAAATATAATGGATGAGATTCTGAAAAAATGAACTTTATAAAATGTTCCATAGTACTTCTTTATTTCATGTTTTGGATCTTTCACCTTAAAGAGGAAGACAAACAATATACAGAAATGTTAAGCTACTTCCATTATACACCACCCTTTGACCGGTAATGGCAGAAAAACATAAATATATTATCTGTTTTCTACCATACATTACTCCAGTTTTTCAGGAACATTTAAGAATCTTAAAAACTCGAAATTATAAAAATGGACTACTTTTTCAAAATAATTAATAAATGTTTATGAATTAGTTTATTAAAGTTATTGTTTCAAATAAAACTCATAGTTCTTTATTGCTTTAAGTCATTTACAGGACATTCAGTTAATTTTGAAAATGGTCAATTCCAACTTTAAAAACAACGTTTTCGAATAAAAATCATATAAAATACCATATTGATAATAAATTTCGATTAATCAATACTAATAAGATTATAAATAAATAGGTCGCATAATGTAAAAATATTTTTAAATTTATTTAAATGCAATTCATTAAATATCTCGGAACAAGGAATATATAACTTTATATAAGGGATGTTCCGTAAATATGTTAACATTTTTTAACAGCGTGTTTTTTAGTCACTTTAGAAGGAGGAGTCTTCCTGATATTTTTTTTAATTTGAGGTTTCGCTGTTGAGTTATTTGATTTCCAAAATGGCGTAATACATTATTTTTTGTTGTTTTCCTTTGAAACGGTTAAACATAGAAACTTCAATTTTGGTATACATTATAAGCTAATTGAGTGCCATTTTATGATAGTGTTTTATGGTTCAGTTTGCTTTTGTACAGGGTAGAAATGTGGAACCCCTACTTTTGTTTTTTTCACAACTTTTTCGTGTACATTTATATAATACATATAATTTTTTTACTTACTACAAGTCATTTACCAACTTTTTATCTCTTATTGTATCCAATTTTTCTTTTTGAATGTTTGAGTATTCCAATAGGCTACCGAGGAAACATAGGACCTTTTTAATAGCAAAGTTGAAATTGGATCTTTAAAAACTGTTAATATCTTCTTAAAATTTTCGGAAAAAACATTTTCAATATTTTTCTCGTACTCTCTAAGTGGGTACCCTTAGAAGGAATGACGCCAATTTTGAAGCACCCTGTATGTAACGAATATAATACGCTGTGAATAGTTGAAGCTGGAAGCAAACACCTCAATTACAAATTTAAGTTAGAACTTTGACATATTGTTAACATAACTGAAAAAGAGGATATCAGTGAAAGAAACAACAATTACCTAAAATATGAACGGTACATAGCTATAGGGAAAAGCTGTAATAAGTAAATACACGCACATTAAAACGTTGCTTGTTTTACCTAAAAAAATTATCTTTACAAAATAAGTATTAAAATGGTATAGTAAACCTTTAATAATTCAAAGTTGCAAGGAAATATTAAAAAAATGATCAACAAATACTTTATCATACGAATATCGCTCCATAAAATGTACACAGCTGCACATGCACGCAGCATAAATGTTTCCAAAGTACAACTACAACCCTGGTTGCCATCTACTTCTACAAAATAACTAAATTCCTTTGAACCACGATTTTTCTTCAAAAACAAAAAAACTACTTAGTGGCTTAAATTTAGAAGATTACCTGCAAATCTGGTGTAATAATCTGGTAAATATTTACAATTGATGAATAATAAGCACGTATGGATGTCCAGTCATCTAGGTGCTGTTTTACTCATATTATGTGTACTTACAATGTTACGGTATATTGAATAATGTATAAATAAATAATTAAATAAATCTTGATCTGGTCCACTCACAGCCTCAAGGGCGGGGGGCGGCAAAAACTGGGAAT